TATACTTTCACTGTCCAGCCCCGCTCCTCTGCCTCAGCTGCCAAGTTGGCAGTTTAATGATTGAGTCATGAATGGCTGATTTTAAATATGGTCTGGTATGACTGATTGAAATTTTTATAAGACTAAACTGGTGATTTTTAAAGTGGGGTACATGTACCAGAATGGATATTTGGGAATATTTAAATGTTACTTTGTTAAATGAAATTACTAGATTAAATTAGATGATATAATGTATTTAAAGATTACTAGATGAAATATAATGAATAATGCATTTAAATAAATAAATTAATTAAATTAAATTAAAATAAAATATATATAAAACAAACCTAAAACTTATTTTATTTCAGATAGATGCCAAAACAACATTTCTCATTTTCATTTAGTTTAAGTACTAAAATAACTAGGCCTACACTCAGAAAAGTCAGTTTTCTTTTCATTAAGTGTAAAACTTAAGTAACTAAAAACTAAAACTTAATAAAAACTATATAGACATTAACTAAAACAATGATGGAAACAATGACACAACAAAATTACTAAAATTAAAACACAAAATATAAAAATTAAAATTAAATCTAAAATATGATATCAATGATATAATAGCACTCATGTATGCAAAATTATTTAAATTACATTTTAAACTATATTTACAATTACATTTTAACTCTAAAAGACTGAAATTGAATTAACTCAAAGTATTTGCAATAATAATAGTGATGTTTGCATTACATCAAGCCTATCACTAATAAACAGAAGAACAACTGAAGAATATATATATATATATATATATTGGTGCCCTGAGAACTGGAGCTTATACTGTGTGTCTGCCAATTTGAGCCCAGCAAGCTGTTTTGGGGGGAGGCATGTGCATTTCATTTCATTCTCACAGACCATCAGTGTCCTCCGAAAAGGCCAATATAAACCTCAGTCATTAAAGAGTCTTTTTAAAAGATCAAGAGTAACTATTCCCAGAATCTCAAAGGAAAAAGAGCAAGAATACACAATGATTTTTTTTTTTTATACAGATGAGTGATTTGTATTGCCGATAATGTTAATTTTCTCTATCTCTTCCTTTTGACTGAAGTAAAAAAAAAAATTGATAGGTGCAGTTTAACAGTGGGATGTCAGGAATGAGATAATATTTCATTGTGACCTCAGGAGCTGATTAAAGCTGATACAGCTCCAGGACTGATAGCTTCTGTGTCGTTAGCCGCTCCATGTGTGCACCACATCCACAGTCAGAATTATGGAATTAGATTGGATATTGAGATTTGCACTAAATGGAAACTGCTGCTTTTGAGTAGGTTCATGTATTTCTTCTAACTAGGGGCACTTTTATGATTTTTTTTTTTAAACAAACAGATTTTTGTTGCCTTAATTTTTTTCCATACTATCATAATTTAATTTTACTACTTTTCACATTTGTTTTATATATGTATTTTATTGTTCTTGTTTTTCAATCACTTTCAAGCATTAAATTGAATACATTATTACTTATTTTATACTATGACAATCTAAAATGAGAATGAGATAAACATATAATTTATAATTTCAATACAAATACATATCACTTCAATACAAATTATGACTGTGCCTCAGGCAGGGTTATTATTGATAACTAAAACTAAAACCATAAAATAACATTTTCATTATTTGAAATAAAAAAGCCAATATTTTTTTCATTTTTATTTAGTTACGCTGAAGTACTAAAATAACTAAAACTAAAAATTTAAACTTCACAAAAACTAAGTAACTATACATACATATATAGACAGTTTTTTTTCCATAAAAATATAATCAAACTTTTATCAAACGTTGGTGTACTTGTTTACAAAAGTGACAACAGTGTCAATGATGTGCTTGAGATAAAATATGAGACGTGATCAAGGCAAATATGATTTATATTGCATATTATTTCCAATAAAGCTGTAATTTTTGTCAAATTATTCAAAAATTGTGAAAATATTATTTGTGTGTATTTAGCATTGCCTACATAAAATGCTAGCTATGAAATTACCCTTAGCAAGACAAAGAAACCAGCTATTTCAAAAATGTTTATAAAAATGTCGTCTACATCACAGAATGTTATTAAACATACATAATTTGAGACATGATATAATGTTGCAAATAACAGTGTAGTGGAAATGACCATGACTTTTAGAAAAAAAAAAGCAAAAATGAATTCTCCTGTGATCTATGCCCATTATTATGAGTTGACAAATCGCAAAAAAACAAAACAAAAAAAAAATAGTGCGAGTGTGAAAAGTGTTTCAAGAGACTTAATTTCCTAAAAGTTCACAAGCACAAAAGTGCCCATAGCTGAAGAAACACCTGATTATAAACTATCAATGCTGTGTTGAACTACTTTCATTTTCAATTTCATGTCAAAGAGCACCGCCCAGTTCATCTTCGACAAGTTTTTTTCTTTTTTTTCAGTAAATCTCAAATGCCAGCAAAAATATTTAGTTTTCCCTCACAAGCATCTGTCACTTGAATCGCTGTGTTGAACTACTTTCATTTTCAATTTAATGTCAAAGAGTACCGCTCAGTTCATCTTCGACAAGTTTTTTTTTTTTCAGTAAATCTCAAATGCCAGCAAAAATATTTAGTTTTCCCTCACAAGCATCTGTCACTTGAATCATCCAACACATTACACATGTGATGTTAGCTCAGCCCGCTGCGGCACCTCCGTCTGCTTTATGGAGACAACTGCCTCGATCATCAGGAAGAAATTAGCTGAAGCACTAAGCTGCACAATCTTATTGGCTGATGGGCCCGTCCGCTCCATTTGAGGTCAGCCCAGACATTCCAGTGGATAATCTTTTCCATCCCTCCACTCTCTTGTCTTTCTCCCTCTCACACTCAGTCTGTTTTCCTCAAAGAGCAGCTACAGCACAAGGCTGGCTTTGTGTAGCCTCTTCACTAACGTTTTCTTGCTCAGTCAGTGTGTTTTAAGTGAACCGTATGGAGCTGAAATACATAACAGCCTTCATTCCCAGCTCTCCCTGCACCTTCCAGTAAAGATGATTTCTACAGCAAGCTAGTAATATGAAGCCTCCGAATTAGGGCCATCATCACATCACCACAGGTTCTGGAGAGTAGCTGAGCTATGTTTGCTTCTGGAGCTTCGCCCACTTTTCCAAGCATCCTGTTCTTTGTCCTGCTCGCTCTCTCTGAACTTGCAACAAAAGGCTGTAATTACGGCGGGCACAAACCAGAGAGAAAGAGCCATATTATAGCATTCTCTCACACTTCAAATACAGCCGCTCGCTAGGAGCTATAGGAACCTGTTTAGATTTATGCCAGCTGTGGAGATGACAGCTGCTGTGAACTTCTGAGATGGTCGTTTTGATGCAACCCACACATTTCATGCATTTTGAACCACAATATTTACACAAGTCTTCATGTTAAATGCCTGAGATACACAATCTCGCCTAAACATGCCATTGAGCTATCGACTAGCTACATATTCGTATGCTACATATTAACTGGTAACACTTTACAATAAGGTTCCATTTGTCAACATTAGTGAACTACAGTAGGTCACATGAACAATGAAAAATTGCTTATTAATCTTAGTTAATGTTAATTTTAAAGACCCACTGTGGTAAAAAATTTAGTTTTTTTAATGTTGTCTATCCGGTGTTTTTAATTGTGCTTAAAGACAAAAATGTGCAAATTCATCAGTCAACACCATTGCTGAGACTTTTCTCCTTTAAACTGCTGTGTACTAAAAACAGTCTCAAAAATGCAGTCACAAACATGTAACCAATCCTGTCAACTTGTGGCGTGGGGCTTTTCATATCATTAGCAAAGCGTTTCCACCTAAGGATGTTGATTTTTAGAAGGTAGCTGTCTGAGATGGCGAACGGGAATATGGTTTGTGTAACATAACACTAGCAACATATTATTAGCTGTTTAATAATAGAGTCATAATGATATCAATTACTGTTACGTGTCTGACGTTGTAGAGAGTGATGCATAAAATGCATTTCTATTCTGATACATTGACTTGTAGATGACCCTGTATAATTCGCTTTTACTCTTCTACTTCGCCATTGTGTAGCATTTGCTACTTCAGTTAACCAAGTGAAAGTGAAACAAGTAGTCCAAGCTGGTGTGACTTGAGTGGAGGCGGGGACTAATTTGCATATTCATAGGTCTACATATAATAAATGAGGTAAGGGTGTAGAGTTATACTCAAGTAATTTTAAAGCATGAATAAATAATTTTTACTGAAATCATTTAAATAGATTATTTTGGTTATCAAAAATTAGTTTTAAGGGATAAAATTAGTGACTGCGGGACTTTTAACATTTACTACTATGTTAACAAAATATGAACAAAAAGTTGCATCTGTTACTATTATTTAATGGACCTGAGCTGACATGAACTGACAATGAAAAGTTATATTTTTATTAACTAATGCTAACAACGAATAAAATAAATAGTGTAACAAATGTAATACTTATTGTTAGGTAATGTTAACGTTAACTAATGGGACTATATTGTAAAGTGTTGCCAATTAACTTCATATATTATCTCTGAAAGTGACAACTGGCTTTGAAAAATCAACAAACCTGGGGAAAACCAACTGAAAACAAAGAGACCTACAGCATGCGAATACATCATGTGCAGGAATAAGACCAGTGAAACGTGTCCATTAACGCAGGGGCCAGGGGAGACGCTCTCTATATGTGCTTTGTTGTAGCATGTTTGAACCAGAAACTATTTCTCATGAGTGAAACTGTATCTTGAGTTCAGTTTGGGAATGACAGGACTAGACATCCTACACTTGGAATGAAGACTGATTTTGCCCTACAGCGTTGAATCGCTGACGTTACGCGTAGATGATCTAGCAGTGTAGGGCAAAATCAGTTCAATGCAACTGCGCTAACAGAAACCAGATGGCTTACCTCTGAATTAAAATAACATTCAAATGTGTCTATGTGGCAAGCGCAGGTGCTCTGATGTGTTTGTGCATGTGAATGTGTGTTTTATACCTGTGGATATCCTGCGCTGTTGTAGCGGGTATGTACCCGTGAAGCCGGAGTAGCCATTGGGCGAACTGCCAGCGTCGCCCGGCCAGCTCCGCAAACACGGCGGCGCTACTGAGCAGGGGTTTTTCAGGAGCCCTGTGTGTGTGACACAAGAGAAGTGGGTGAGAGTCACTCACTTCCACTGCAATCAGATGAGGATTTCACACCAATATGAGAAAGGACACACTACACTTTACTCAAAACTGTTATGGATGGATCTCAGTTGAGTCTTCAATAAGCTGTACTTGAACTTACATGACAGTACAAAAGAAAATATAATTTCTCTTTCAAAGCCCAGGAGATGTAATGAAGTTTGGAGTTTCATGTACACTAAAATGTGATTTCCTTTGAAACAATTTTCACTTAGAAATTGATCATAAATTTCACAAATAATCACATTGTAATAATGTGCCAGTAACACACTGAATTAAATGTGAAATCTTGAAGTAGAAATACTGAAATAGTACTCTCTAATAAAACATACTCCCATAATCATTGTTTTATTTACAACTTCAAAAAAAGAATTTTTACAGTTTAGATATCAGTCAACGTCTCAGATGTTTCTGCTAAGAAAATAAGAAACAATTCTGAAAGAAAACAAGTTTGGTAGAAATTAATGAGAAATGTTTAAGTTCACACTGACTGTTATTTGTAGACTTGAGTATTCTGGCAAATCTGCACAGAGTTTATAACATTATTGAGATCTCTTATGAAACTAGACATGTGAGATTAAAAAAGAAATCTGATTTCCATTTGCTCTCCATTTAATCTTGTTGTTGTCTAGGATAAAAAGATTGGCAAAATGAAGTGATTTTTCTTTCCTGAGGAAGTGTCTTGAGTTTGGAAGTCTATTTTCCCCTCAGAGAAAAATGTACTTTATTTCTTACCATTGCAATTTTATTTCTTATTTTAAACTTCACAATTACTTAATTTTTTACTTAGGGGTAGCTGAACATTTTGAAGCGTCAAAGTTTTGGTAGAATGGACCTTCATGGGAAGAATACATCTCTCAAGTTTCATTTAAAATATCTTCAGTTGTGTTTCAAAGATGATCGAAACAAATGTACAAAACAGCATGAGGGTAAGTAAATGATGACAGAGTTTTCATTTTTTGGGTGAACTATCCCTTTAAGGCAGAAACTGGGTTTCCATACTTGTACTTACTTGAAACATCTGCAATTAATGAGTGTCCTTTTCTACAAGTTTCAAATTACACTTTTCAACATTTCAACAATTGTGTAATATCACGTAAAACCAGAAGTCATCTTTATGAGAAAGACCCATGCGTGAGTGTTTGTGACCGAACGTGTGTGGCCCATACTACAGTACATATCTCTGATTAATATGGAAATAACTTGACCTCAAGATGTTTTATTTGTTCGCTAGTAAAATTGCAAGTGCCTTATTTTCATCCATCTCTGAATATGAACTTTGAGACCACCCAATACTCTCAACTCACTATGACCTTGAGCAACAAAGGACACCTAGACACACACACACACACACACACACACACACACACAGACTAAAGGCAAAATCTGCAGGCACTCTTTATGAGACCCGGGATATTTGCTCCTTTCAAAGCCCTCATTTACGAGACCTTGATGAGAGGCTGTGCCACACAGAGCAGATACCTTTTTTCAAGGTTTCCATCTCATCTCTAAGACAATCAAGCTCAAGGTCAAAGATCAAACCTGCAATTCAATTCATCATGAACGTCATAAAAATCTCTCTTTCAAGGGTTCTTGATTAGCTCTTTAGAAAGGGGCTTGAGGGATGGACCACAGTATAGGCAGAAGTTGTTGCCTTAGACATGTGATCATTAGACAACCTTCAAGTGCCTTTTAGTAGCCTTGAAAGCTGCATTAGAGATGCATAGAGGTCGAGGGGTTTCAGTTTAAAACCTCCTGATCTTCTTTGTGATAGATTAGAATGTGTGATTTGACAACAGCGTATGCAATGAGCCCTGGATACTAAGATGTTTGCTCTAAAGATCAATGGCTGTATTTGACTGTCAGAGTAATGAAGACCTGCCACATATGTGCTATTATATTTTTTAAAAGACTCTAACACTGGGATAAATTGTAGTAATGACTGCCTAAGGCGGTTTTTAGGTTGTGCTGTGTCATATCCTGTCAGAACGAGAATAACTTCTTTGGCAATGCGGTTGAAATAGTCAAGATAGTATGCTGGAACAAAAGGTCTGATCCATAACCTTTCATGAGATGCTGCCAGGAAGAGACAGAGATGTTGCGATGGATGGAGAGAGAAGCAGTCTAAACTAAGAGAGGCTTTTAAAATAGCTGCAGAATTCCAACCATCCTCCTTATAGCTGCACACATAAACATAGACACAATCTTTACGAGACACAGACAAGAAAAGCAGACCCATAAGAAAATGGGTCAATGACACAATAATGTCCACGAAACACATGTGGCAATTTCTTAGAAATGTTTTTATATTTGTGACTGCGCTCTGGACAACGTCAAAAGTTACTATTTACAATGTGTTTTTGCATTCGCATATTTATGCTGGATTCACTCTCGAAATAGCAACAGTGATAACCATAACAATGGACGGACGGGACAAAAATATGTGAGAGCACCCTCCGTGATTTAGACTGATCCAGACAAGATCCAGTTCACGGACCAAAAACGTATGTAAACTTTATTGAGTTTTATATTAACCAGTAACCAATTCAATTCCAGTAATGGATGATAGAAAGTTCAGAAATGGTATGCGATTTATGACTGGCTTGAATTTAGTCCCACAACTAATCGGTTATTGATTTATTTTTTGCATCTCAAGTGACTGGATTTAGCAACTGAAAAAAAAAGACTCGTAAAAATTCAATGAACGTCAGATAAGCAGCGTGCACATTTCTGGTTAAAAATGAAAGGCCATCAACAGACACTTTAAATGGGAAGCATCGCTATTCAAATCGGTCGCTGTGATTTTGCCAAGTAAGTCATGTTCCTGGATCAACATAACTGTCCAAAAATATAAACTTAACCTAATCCCTACCCCTAAACCTAACCCTACCCATAATTTATTCCTAAAAACAGCGTGAAATGATAGCTGATTAACAAGGGTGTAGAAGCACCTAACCCTGATTGTAAGCCTAAAACAGATATTTCCTGAAAAGTTTTCCCTCAATTCTGATTGGTTAATTGGAATGTTGTTCCAGGATCAAGGATCCAGGAACATGTTGTACTTGGTGAAATCACGGTCAGCATTCAAATCAGCAGCAAGAGTCAAAGCTAGTCCACAGTTTAGTAAATGTTGGCAACCTCTTTTAAGTTATTCTTGACTGTGCTGCATTGACTGCTTTGATGTGGTGCAATAAGGTACACTGTAAAAAAAAATTCGTAAAATTTACGGTAAAAAACCGGCAGCTGTGGTGCCGGAATTTTACCGTAAAAAATACGGTAGCACATTGCTTTGATAATTTTATAAGCTACGTAGCTGCTTTTAAGACTCTGACGCAGGAAATCAAAATGTAGAACTTCATATTATTTGCTTTATTCAAGAGAAGGTCGAGCTAATGTCATTAGTACATCTCAGTTAAGATGCACGGTGGGTCACACTCACGGTAAAAAGCCTTTGATAAAAACAGACATCCAATTGTTATAATCATGAAGGCTTCTTCTTCTGCAAAAACATTCAAAATATTAAAGGGATAGCTCATCAAAAATGTACAATCTGTCAACATTTACTCACCCTCCACTTGTTCCAACCCTATGAGTTTCTTTCTTCGGCTGAACGCAAAATAAGATATTTTGATTCTTTTAGTGACATCATGTTACACTACACAGGTTTTTGTACTATCAAATGCTCTCTATAGCAAAAATGGAATCTAATATCACCTGCAAGAGGTGGTAATGTACAGTAGCAAATCATAGTTCAAGACTGTGAAGTAACTAAAGGCTATTGGCTATTAACATAAGGGACAAGTACTTCAATATGCATTTGTCACATGATTTCATGGAAAGGATTATAGGAAGTCTGGAAATATGTTTTTTAAACATTTCCAATTTAGAGTTATTGGTCATAAGAAATTCCCTGAAAATTTGATCACTCAAATCCAATTATGAGAGAATAAATGGAAAAAGAGGGAGAGAAAGTGAAAGAAACTGAACAAGCAATGGCAAAAAAACATCCAACTTATTGAAATCTACTCCAATATTTCATCAGCCAATTTTTTTTGTATTTCTTATGGAAGGAACAGCTTGGAGTGTTTATGGCCATTGGAGCGTCCTGTCCATTAATCTCTCTGTAGATCGCAATGGTTCAATGAAATTATGTGGAAAAATACTACGGAGAGGTTTTTAAAAATTGACGTCATCAATACAGAACAACAAATTCAGTCTTGAACATCTGATTGCTCGCACTCAAAATAACCAGCATGCACATGTGTAAACACACGCACACAAGGTTTTCTAGATATACGATGGGCTGGCTACAGGATGCCATCCTGTTTTTTTAGGTCTGTCTGCTTCGCTAGAGATGTGTAAAATATGAGGTCCATATATCCCTGGTGTATGACACATGAGTGCCTGTGAGTTGAGTTCATTTGGAAAGTATGTTGGCTATACCAAGAATAAATTTTAGCAAATATTTGGCTTTGCTTGCAATCATAACATTAATTATGTAGTGGGGAAGAATTATTTAGGGCAATTTGGAATACTGGAAGTGTCCAGAGGATTGAAAGAGAGAAACACTGAAGGTTTTGGAAACCACGGATTGGAAAAAATCGGATGAGTTCCTCAGAAGATGTTATAATTATTATATACATGAAATAGAGGTGCATATTATATAGACCAGTGATCCTCAAATCTGGCTCGCGAGATCCACTTTCCTGCAGAGTTTAGCTCTACTCTAATCAAACACACCTGAGTTTGCTAATCAATGTCTTCAGGATCATTAGAAAATCACAGGTAGGTTTGTTTGATTATAGGGCTGGAGCTAAACTCTGCAGGAAAGTGGATCTTGCGAGCCAGATTTGAGGATCACTGATATAGATAATCAGAGCAGATCTGACAAGAAGAATGAAGGAAAGTTAGTGTGGCGGTGAAGCTGTTCGACTCTGCCTGTTA